CCAGTTTTATCGAACGCCAGTAATGGAACGAATACCATATCTATTTCATCAGCGGCAATTTCTACGCCATTTACGGGTTCTGCAATGCCGTAGGCATTTTTTTTAAAATCTGTATCATCATTCACCAGTAAAATTTTCATTGTGTGGTTGCTGAAATTGGCCACCGGGTAGGCCACCTGCAGGCCGGGAAGCCGGAATTGCAGGTAGTCTGTCATTAAAAAAGTGTTCACTTCTGTAAACTGCTGCAAAGGCCAGTAGCTCAGCAGTACATTTACATTATAAGGGATTTCTACTTGTTGAAACTGTATCAGCAACAGGTCGTTCAGCCGAAGGCATTCCTTTTCCGGCAATGCAGCCCTTCTTTGTTTATACAGTTCGCGCAGCGCTTGTTTTGTCATATTATATTATTCAGCGAAGGCCGCAGCAGCGCTGCCTGTTCACTCACAAATGCTTTATCCGGATTTCTGGAGAAAGGCAGGGCGCCTATTTTGGGGAACCCGCTCCATTGTACAATTTCGTCTTCATATGCAAGATACTGATCATTAAAAATCCAGCCCAGTACATCCAGTTTATAATAATGGCATACCTGCGCGGTCAGCAATGAATGGTTAATGCTGCCCAGGTAGTTTCTGCTTACGAGTATTACCCTGGCCTGCAGCTGCTTTATCAAATCGGCCACAAATTCGCGATCATTTAAGGGCACCATCAACCCGCCTGCGCCTTCTATCACCAGGGGTTGCTGCTGGGCGGAACTATTGATTTCCTCCAGCCGCCCTTTTATATCCGCAAGACGGATGGTGACGGCTTCCTTCCTGGCTGCTATATGCGGAGAAGCGGCCAGTTGCAGTTTGTACAGTTCCGGGTATACTCCCGGAGAAGGTCCTGACAAAAGCGTTTCCACCAGTTGACTGTCAGTACCATCTTCCACGCCCGCCTGTACAGGCTTCCAATACGCCGCCTGCAGGGCCTGGGCCACCACTGCTGCTACCAGGGTTTTACCAATTCCTGTTCCAATACCGGTGATGAAAATAGGCTGATGCAAGACTTATACTTTTACAATTATCCCAATACTGAAATAAAATGATGACGGCAGTTTTATAAAGACCGTTCAAAGTTAATAATAATGCAGTTTCGGATTATACAGTAGTGTCTCTGTTTGAATAAATGGCAGTGATTTCTTTTAAAGCAACAACGGCTGCACGCGATTTTACGTGCCACGGTTGTCGCTACAGGGGCTGGCGGCCATCAATATTTAAACCGTGGCACGATAAATCGCCTGACCACAGGTTCTTTAAGATTTTCGAAACAGCAGCATTACAGCCTTTTTCATCAAACTGAGACAATACCGATTATACAACTGCCGGCTCAATAAAAATGGAGAAGATAGTGGTGCCGTAATTTCTGGAGGTTTTATACAGGTCGAATTTCTCGTACCTGTTCCTGGGCGTATGCTCCAGTACAAACCAACCTCCGGGTTTAAGTAGTTTTTTCTCTGCTATCAACTGCGGCAGCTTGTCAATGGTCTCCAGGGCATAAGGCGGACCTGCAAAAATAAAATCAAATTTTTCGGTACACTGGTTAATAAACCTGAATACGTCTGATTTAATAACACTGCAATTTTCTATCTGCAATGCCTTTATGTTACTGCTGATAAAAGCATGCATTTTATCGTCTTTTTCAACAACGGTAAGTGCTGTAGCGCCCCGCGAAGCCAGTTCGTAACTGATACTGCCGGTTCCGCCAAAAAGGTCCAGCGTCTTCATGCCTTCCAGTTCCAGGTTGTTCTGCAGTATATTAAACAGCCCCTCTTTGGCAATATCTGTAGTGGGCCTGGTATGGGGCATATTTGCCGGCGGATTAACCCTTCTTCCTCCCAGGCTACCTCCTATGATACGCATAGTGCAAGTTTCAATAAGGGTGAAAAGAAATGGGAAGGGTAATCCTGCAGGGCAGGCGCTGCGGTTGCCGGTACAGAAAAAGCTTCAAGCTCTACCAGCGCAAAATATTTGAAAATTTCCGTGTACAAAACGGAGGAAATATCTATCATACCAGATAACAACACAGGGGTCTCTGCCGGCGATAATTCCAACTGGCTGCAGATATTGAGCAAGTAGTAACCTACGTCTTCTGCGGCTTCATACACAAAACTCTGTACCAGCTGCAGTTGATTGCCTTTGACTACCCCTGCCAGTATGCGGTTAGGATAAAATACAGCAGTAATATAGTCTGTGTGCTGCGCCTGTTTTTTTTCATCCTGTTGCGACCAGATGCTGTAATAGTGGCGGTATTGACTACCTGAAAAACTGGTCTGCAACAGGCTGTGCAGGGCCGCCGGCACCCTGAAAACATTGTACCGTGGTTGCCCCTCTATTCTTTCGCAGAGCGTAATTCCACTGTTTATGTCTCCATGAAACAATGCTACCATGTCTTTGCCTGCAGCTGCCGAATAATATTGTTCGGGCACCATCTGGCTCTCGGGCAAATTGTATACAATTGTCTTTTTTTCGGGGCCATATTTCAGCCAGTCGTCTGCTTTCAAAAGCGCACGCCATTCATCGCACCATTCGCCCGTGTTGCGCGCGTCCATTTCATATACACGCAGGTGCTGCAAATTGCCCTCCGTGTCTACAGCTGCATAAGCAAAACTGCGCTGGCCAATTTCCATTACAAGGTGACCTTGCTTATCATCTGCAGGTTCCTGTAAAACACTGATATCAAACAGAATTTTCGCCATATAAAGTGTTGCAAAATACTATATTTTACGCACTGATAATGCCGGCAACTGGTTCTTTCACCATAATATTTGGTAGGTTTGCAGCCATTAAAAAATGGCAGGCGCAGCAACCCATAGCAGTTTACAGGTAAGCATCAGTTACAAACAGATACTCAGCATTGCTTTTCCCATCAGCATGGGCATATTTGTGCCCCAGCTGAATTTTATTACCAATAATATCTTCCTGGGCCAGCTAAGCCAGCAAGCCCTGGCAGCCGGCGCTATTACGGGCGTTTACTATCTTATTTTTGCCGCTATCGGATTTGGTCTGAACAACGGGCTACAGGCCCTTATTTCAAGAAGGGCGGGCGAGAACAGGACCGGTGAAATTGGTAAATTGTTTATTCATGGCATCGGCATCTCCATGGGTATTGCCGTTATCGGCATCCTGCTTACCTATACCGTTTCTCCCTGGGTATTGCAGTTCAGTATACATGACGAAGCACTGCTGCGGCAATCTGTCAATTTTTTAAAAATACGTATCTGGGGATTGCCATTTTTATATGTTTACCAGATGCGCAATGCATTGCTGGTAGGCACCAACCAAAGCAAGTACCTGATTGCCGGTACGGCAGCAGAAGCCATATCCAATGTCTTTTTTGATTACAGCCTTATATTCGGTCATTTTGGCTTCCCGGAAATGGGATTTAATGGCGCTGCCGTTGCTTCCATTATTGCAGAATTTTTAGGCATGGCGGTAGTATTTGCGGTAATTCATTACAAAGGTATCGGTAAAAGATTTTCGCTGTTCAGCAGTTTCAGGTATGATGCGGGTGTTGCCAATTCAATACTTTCTCAGTCTTCCCCGCTGATTTTCCAGCATGCCATCAGCATCATCAGCTGGGAGTTTTTTTATATCCTTATAGAACACCACGGAGAAAGAGACTTGTCCATCAGCAATACCATGCGTAATATTTTTGGTTTGTTTGGCATGTTTTCATGGGCCCTGGCCGCTACCTGCAGCAGTATGGTCAGCAATATTATTGGCCAGGGGTTGCAGCACCGGGTAACGGAACTTATCTTTAAAATTGTAAAACTTAGTACAGGCATTGCACTGGTGGTTTGCTTGCTGCTGAACCTGTTTCCTTATCTTTTTCTTTCTGTATACGGCCAGAGCGCCGACTGGGTAAACCATGCCATACCAGTGGTAAGAATTGTTTCCACCGCATTGGTGATGATGTCTTTTTCCGTAGTGTGCGTAAGTGCGGTTACCGGCACCGGCAATACCAGGGTAAGCCTGCTGATAGAGTTTATTACCATTATCATGTATTGCATATACGTGTGGCTGGTGCTGGAACACCTGAACCTTTCTGTAGCTGTGGGATGGATGAGCGAATGGATTTACTGGGGCGCCATGTTCATCATGTCTTTCTTTTACCTGCGCAGCGGAAAATGGAAGGGGAAAGTTATTTGATTGTTTTTCCAACACCCTGTGTTTATGGAATTGGGAATAAGGAATTTGGAATTGGCATCCTCCATCAAGAAACATTATATACAGCAGCAACCTGTAATTCTGTGATTAAAGCCTTGATTTTTCCTGTTTGTGCCTGAAAAATGTGGCGTTATTGGAAAACGGAGCTTTTCGGGAAGCCGGTATAGCGGCAGTAATTTCAGTTAAAGGTCCAATTCCAAATTCCCAATAACTAATTCCATTTTTTGAGCAATTCCTTCGCCTCTTCGCTCACCCTGGTATCATCCTGTATTTTATCTGGCATAGACAGGGTTTTGTTGAGGTATTCAACGGCTTTCTGCTTTTCATCATTGCGGTGATAACATTTGGCCAGCTCCAGGTAGTTAACCTTTAAATCGGGTACCAGTAACCTGCATTTTTCATAATTGTAGATAGCGTCTTTTAACGACGCCGGGGGAAGTGCTTT